CCTAGCCTAACCCTTATATGGATTTATCTTGTGTTTACACCGACTAAACCGGTTTGTATTCCTTCAATCCTTACTTCAAACTATTTTTCAAGGGGCTCCAACCCTCTATTTTTTATCCTTTTCCGAATTGAACACCATACTCAGGATTTGCAAGTAGTTTTTCCTAATCTGGTTAGTCCAGAGATTTTGATATTTGTACCACTTCTATATCAGGGTCTACTATAGAGGCTTATCTTGTATTTGCGCCGACATGCACCGGTTTGCATTTCTTCATCCGGGTCTTCCCCAAATGAACGCTCTACTGTAGATCTTGTTACATCACAGTACTCCCAGGAGCAGTACCCCTGGTCTGTGCCCTTTCGGTTACAGCATACGATGCCACTACAGATTAAGTTGACATATCCGGAAGGATATACAAGGAGTAGTTTTCAAATTTTTGTCACCAGTAGGATTCGAACTCTAGACCTTGCTACTTGGGGGGTGACAACTCTACCACTTCACTATGTCGCCACACCCTTCTCTAAGAGCTAGTATTTACAACCTAAAAATATATTATTCTCTTAGATTATAATATTCAATTTTGTAAAAATGAGCTCTTTATCTAAAGAATCAGAAGTGCCAAGCTATAATAGTAACAATGATTATTATAGTTATCATGATAGTAACTATGATAATCATAATTATAATAATGACAATAATAACTATAATTATGATTATAATAACAACTATAATCACGATAATAATCATGGTAATAGCTCTAATATTAATAATAGTAGTACTAGCAACAAACAAAACAATAAAGATAGTGAGGTGTGGGGCTTTTTTGAAAAGTTTGTGTGGTAAAAGAAAACAAAATTGTAAAGTAACAAAGTGTACACATAAGCCATTTTCGTGTGTAGATAGTGGCTCAACTACTATGTTATTGCAGTACTTAGAAAGTGCCTATAATACACAGTATGCTACAACAGAATACTATTGCAAAAAAAAAAAAAGTTGCAAGATAGCACTATTGAAGAGTTATTCAAAAAAGTAAGTTCTTGCTTTTTTAATTTTTTTATAAATTGTTCTAACCTTTTTTTTAAAAAAAACTTTAAAATCTTAAGACTCTTTTACCATAACAATAGTTAATATTAATAATACAAAACTTCGAAATATGTTTGCCACATGGATTATTAATTATTAACACCCTCTTGTAATAATTGAGAATTCTGAATTTGTTAAAATTGTATAGTACTTAAATTCCAAGACACAAATTATTAAAGCAAATACAATTAAGAATATAGTTATGACACTTTATAATTCAGAAAAACAAGAATTGAAGATAAATATTAATTTTTTTTGAAAAAGTATCAGAAATATATTAAAAAAAAATCCTGAACCATTGGGTATTAACAAAAATAAAATTTTTGCCTATACGTGTATATAGATTAGGATATTTTTACCAAATACCCCATGATCTAATAATTAGGTAATAAATATATTTTTTTATTATTTTACTAAATACTTATATTCTGTAAGCATACCTTTCCTTTATAAATTCCAAGATTTCTTTTATGTCAGACCTCTGAATATCTCCCAACAACAAAGCTTTCATTTTAGTTAAAGCATATTATATAAACAAAATTTGGACCCTTCAAGAAATACTAATCGATTTTGGGTATTAAGTGGAAAATATAATGAAATAAATATTTCAAATAGATTCTTTAGTATACTAAAAGATTATAACATCACATCAAAAGTAATTATTTTATAAGAATTTTATTTTTATTTTATTTTATTTTACTAATTATAATTAATCTAAAGTACAATGACAAGTTTCAAATACTATTTGAAATTGTTTATATAATTTTAAATAGCATTTTGAAGTGTGCTATTCTTTTTTTTTCTTTTATTAGCTTCTTGCTATTACACTTGACAATACTACAAACAATGATACTTTTGTTAATGAATTAGAAATAAAGCTAAGAGAAGAAGTGAACTTTAACTGGAATCCAAAATATCTTTGGGTTTGCTGCTTTAATCATATCCTTAATTTGGTGGTGCAAGCAGCTTTAAATAAAATAAAAAATCATATTCGCAATGTATCAATATAAACTTAAGCTAATTAAAAAAATTTTTATTATATTAATAAAATAATAATTAAGATTTGAAACCTTAATGTTGCTATTCATACAATATCTCAACATGTTGAGCTTTATAAAAATTTATATACTTTATAGAAGCAAATATCTCAAATTATAATTACAAAGCAGAAATATATATTAATTATTCATTAAAAATATTATATTCAATAAATTAATATTTCTATTCCAGATTAAGATTTGTGTATAAAATATACTACACTCTTTACAAACTATTAATCATATCTAATTATTACTATAGTGATAATTAACTCACAAATTAAAATTTTATAATTTAAAGGGTAGTAAATTCGAATTACTCAGGTTACAAGTTGATAAGTTCAATCACTATTATCAAAATAAATAAAATAAAAAACTATTGTCCTGGTTAAATAAAGACAATTCTAATAATATATTTTGTAGGTGCTTAATACTCTTACTAGTTCTTATAATGATTTTCATAATTATGCAATTTCACATAGTCAATAGACCATCTTAAAGAAAATTGCTAAATTTCTTAAACTATTTAAGGATCTTACGATTAAAATGTCATTTGGCACAAATAGTATGGCTTTCTGAAATATTCCTCTTTTCAATATAATCATTTTTTTTTTTAATATTAAGGTGAGGCCTTGCTCATATCTTTATTGAATAATTTATATAAGTAGTTACATAATAAA